TCAATGCTGTTCTCAACTCTTGAAATTCAGCAGTTAGTAAAATAGATAGTCTCTGTGCTCATAAAACCTAAATTCTATTTGAGAGATAGAAAGTAAATAAGTATGTAATTCTCAAGTAGTGATAAGTACAGTGATGGAAAATAGAGCAGGGTGAGAGGATAGAATAATGACAGCAAGATGATGCTGTTTCAATTAATGTGATCAGGGAAGGCCTTTCTGAGAGGAGGAGACTTGAGCAGAGACCTGAACAAAATAAAGAGAGTGAGCCCTAGAATAACTGGGCAAAGAGTTTTCTAGATGGAATAGCAAATGTGAAAACCTCAAGATGGAAGGTTTCAGTATTCTAGAATTATAAAAAAAAATTTCTAGGATCTACATAATAAAAGCCTAAGTGACCATTTTTGCAGAACCACCAGAATTGCTGGTCCCTATGATGTATACTGACCACCAGGGGGCAGACACTCAATGCAGGAGCTGTCCCCTGGTGGTCAATGCGCTTTCACAGAGGGAGCGTCACTCAGCCAGAAGCCAGGTTCATGGTGGGTGAGCACTGTAGCAGTGGTGGGAGCCTCTCCCACCTCAGAAGCAGTGCTAAGGAGAAGTGAGCCTAGCAATAAGGAGCAGTGAGCAGGGGAACGGTAAGGACCAAGGGGTCCTGGACTGTGAGAGGGAGCTGTCCTAAACTGGCAGGTGGACATCCCTCAACCAAACTGCAGAGGTTGAAGGCCAGGCTAAGGGAACACCCCCCTTCCTTCATGAATTTCATGCACCGGCCCTCTAGTTGGAATATAATTTGCAAAGGAAGAAGTAGAAAATGAAAATGAAAAAGATAGATATGGGCCAGATTTGATAAGGCCTTATGACATGGTGATAGAAGGATGTTGGGGAGCTTTTGGGAGAAGAATATGATCTGATTTATGTTTTAAAAGGATCACTCTACTTTAGTCCAAAATGGAAACTAGGAGGCCAGTTTTTTCAGTAATTCAGTAAGGAGCTAAAGGTTGCCTGGATTTGTGTAGTAACAGTGGAAATGTCAAGAAGATACATTATAAAGGAAGGACCAATGGGCTCTGCTGATGGATTGGATGTGGGGCATGAGAGGGAGAGCAAAGGATAATGTCACAGTTTGGTGCCATTGGTGGAGAGATAGAATGCTGGGAGATGAGTGAGCTCTATTGTTTGAAGTTCCAACTGGCATCCAAATGAAGGTTTAGTAGGGAATGCTATATAATAAAAGAGTAACATGCAAATTAACCACCACTCTGTTACACCCACAAGCCACACCCACCAGCCAATCAGGAGCAAATATGCAAATAAACCCAACCAAGATGGCTACAGCCACAAAGAGTAGGAGGAGGCTTGGATTTCCCCAGCGATTGAGGAAGCCAAGCTTTCCGCACACCCTGGCTGGCCCAGTCCTCCACTTAAGGCTACAAAGTTTCAGTTATAAAACAGAAATGACTGCTGCCACAGAGCGAGCAGAAGGCTTGGCTCTGATCCAGGCTACAAAGTTTCAATTGTAGAAGATTCATAAATTCCAGATACCTGGGCCTCTGCTTGGGTTACCAGGGGGCGTGGCTGGCCTGCAAACCACCACCAGGCTACCCCATGCCCCAAGGGAACCCCCACCCTGATCCGGGACACACTTCCGGGCAAACCAGCCAGCCCCCACCCATGCACCAGACCTCTATCCTATCTAATAAAAGAGTAATATGCAGATTGATCATCACTCCAACACACAAGATGGCTGCCCCCACGTGATCAAAGATCCTGCTCCCATATGGACACAAGATGGCCACCACAAGATGGCCAGCAGGGGAAGGCTGTTGGGAGGGACCAGGCCTTCAAGAGAGGGCAGTTGTGGGTAATCAGGCCAGCAGGGGAGGGCAGTTAAGAGGGACCAGGCCTGCAAGGGAGGGCAGTTGGGGCCGATCAAGCCTGCAGGGGAGGGCAGGGGTGACCAGGCTGGCAGAGGAGGGAAGTTGGGGGCAAACAGGCTAGTAGGGGAGCAGTTAGGCATCAATCAGGCTGGCAGGGGAGTGGTTAAAGGGTTATCAGGCTGACAGGGAAATGGTTAGAAGGTGATCAGGCTGGCAGGCAGAAGTGGATAGGGACAATCAGGCAGGCAGGCAGGCGAACAGATGGGAGTCAGCAGTCCTGGATTGTGAAAGGGATGTCCGACTGCCCGTTTAGACCCGATCCCGATGGGGTCCGAGATAGGAGAGGGTGCAGGCTGGGCTGAGTGTTGACTTATGAACCAGGAGATCACAATTCAATTACCATTCAGGGCACATGCCTGGATTGAGGGAGGGCAGTTAGGGGTGACCAAGCTGGCAGAGGAGGGAAGTTGGAGGTGACCAAGCCTGCAGGGAATGGGTGTTGAGAGAGACCCAGGCCTGTAGGGGAGAGCAGTTAGGGGAGACCAGGCCTGCAGGGGAGAGTAGTTGGGAGGACCAGGCCAGTAGGGGAGGGCAGTATTTGTGCACCGGGCCTCCAGTTGGATATGTCTGGAATTAAAGGAAAAGGTTGAGGTTAGGCATTTAATTTAGGGAATTAATGACATAATAGAGATGTAAAGCCATAAAACCAGATGCAGTTATCTAGGGGTTAAGTGTAAAAGGATCTTTGCCCTGGTGTTGTTTAATGTGTTACTCTGTTCCCTTTATCAAATCACATTCAAATTCAACTTTTGGGGGAAAAAGTGTTTCATAGTTAGTTGTATGTACTTCCTATAATGGTACATGAGGAAGCACTTGGGTTATTTCTCTTTTTAAAATATTTATATTGATTAGTGGGTTCAGGTATTGCCACTCTGATCCATCCTATATAATAAAAGGCTAATATGCAAATAGACTGAATGGCAGAATGACTGGTTGCTGTAATACACACTGACCACCCAGGGGCAGACACTCAATGCTGGAGCTTCCCCCTGGTGGTCAGTGCACTCCCACAGGGGGAATGCCGCCCTTCAGCCAAAAGCCCTGAGCTGGACTCAGTCACAGCGAGCTTCTCCTTCTTCCACAGCAATACTAAGGATGTATGACTGCCAGCTTAGGTCTGCAGGAGCAGGCATAAGCCGTTAGTCAGACATCCTTGAGGGCTTGTGGATTGCGAGAGGGCGCAGTCCAGGCTTAGGGATCTCCCCTCCCCTAAGTGCATGAATTTTGTGCACTGGACTTCTAGTCTGTTATAAAACTCCATCCCCATCAGCTTATGACTTATTGTTTTTAGTGACCATTGATGATCATATCCTGAATCCATTATTTGAATAGGTAAAATGGTAGTATTGAATGCCTTTCTTTTCTTTTCTTTTTTTTTTTTTAATTTTATCTTTATTGTTGAAAGTGTTACAGATAATTAGCTCAAACTCTCTGTGAAGAACCAATTTACCTCATCAACTATTTGGTTAACTTGAGATATAGGAAGTGTAGAATAAATGCTTCGAATTTTTTAAGAATGACCACAGAGAATCTTTGATAGCTTTCTTATTTTCCAATTATGACACTATGGTCCAGGATAATCTTGTTTATTTTCTGTTCTGCACTTGAATTAGCCATTTCTGTAAGGAATCCCACAATCCTTACTCTTAATCAATATAGAATAATTTTATAATACCTTTTGTATCCTGTGATCTTATGATGATCTATGCCTCCCAACATTAGTTCTATTCTTTTAAAATATATTATTATTGATTTCAGAGAGGAAAGGAGAGGGAGAGAGAGATAGAAACATCAATGATGAGAGAGAATCATAGGTTGGTTGCCTCCTGCACACCCCACACTGGGGATCAAGCCCTCAATCCAGGCATGTGCCCTCACTGGTAATCGAACTGTGATCTCCTGGTTCATAAGTCAACGCTCAACCACTAGACTGTTCTATTCTTGTGTACTGAGATAACAGAATAGAATGAAAATACTTTTAAAGTGCAACATACTAATTTATATTTTAGTTGCACAATTTTGAGTGACTTGATTTATTTATTAATTTCTGCCATTTTATTGAAAACTAGAGGCCCGTTGCGTGAAATTCTTGCATGGGGAGCTCCCCTCAACTTATCCTGCAACCTCTCCAATCTGTGACCCCTCAGGGGATGTCTGACTGTTGGTTTAGGCCTGATATTGGGCCTAAATCGGCCGTTGCACATCCCTCTCAAGATCCGGAACCACTGGCTCCTAACTGCTCATCTGCTTGCCTTCCTGATCGCCCCTAACTGACTATCCCCACTGGCCTGGTTGCCTCCAACTGCCCACCTGCCAGCCTGGTCGCCTCACAGAGCCTGCTGTTCAGTCATTTGGTCATCACTCACTAACCCCCCTGCTAGCCTGGTTGCCCCACACAGCCTGCTGTATGGTTGTTACTGTTACTGTGATGGCATCCTGGACAATTTGCATATTCCTCTATTATTAATATAGATATTTGACATTGTGTAATGTTTCATTTTTATTGCTAATAGAAATGACCATCAGCTGTGTGCTTTCTATACTGATTTCAGGCCTCAGAATGGTGAATTAAAGGTTTATGTTTTATATGAAAACATTTTGTAAACTCTTGTTCACACTTTTTTTTTTTTTTTCCATGTTATATTCTTGTGGCTTTTCTGGGAATGCAGTTACATGCTATTTTGAGTTCTTTATCATTATGCAACCTACTTATTGATCCATGTGATGGATCCTTATGAAGCAGCTTGGTACTTCTTGTATTTGGGGCCTTTAGGAGAGAGGGGATGAAAATGTACATTAGAAAAATGAGAGGTGAATGTGGCATTCCCCTTGGGCATCTTGCAGAGCTGAAGTGCCAACCTGGCACTGCTGGATGATCATCTCCAATAAGGTCATCTTATATGTCAGAAAATAAAGAACCTTTTTCAAACTACATGGTGAGTGTCCAGTGTTGGAGCTTTTGAATACCAGTATGCAATTTTTCCTTAGGAAAGACAAAGAAAAAAATCTGCTCTTGCCCTTTCTTTCTTTGATTTAGCAGAACTTTTCCATTTTATTCAGGTAATTAAACCAGAGAGCAGTGACAAAGAAACAGAAGGTGCCTATGAATCAGATCTCCCTGAGGAAATCTGTGGAAGCCATCTTCAACAGTCCCTGAAAGGCCATAAAGACAGTCCTGATGTCATTATAGAGGCTCAGTTTGATGACAGCGACTCAGAAGATGGACGAGGCAACACACAAAATGTTCTGGTTGATGATATTAAGAAACTCTCAGTTTCTGTTCATGAAAAAGGTGAGTTCTGGGCTGCTATTTGACATTCTATTTTAGTAAATTAATCATGTTAGGTATTGGAATTCTCTCTGTGCTCCAGAATTAATCAAACAACACATTTGGTATCTTCCCAATTTCTGACCTGTATCAGCTTTTAGGAAAGGAGGTAAATTTACAGCTGCTGGTTACAGCAATGCCACATTGGTGGTTTGTTTGGTCAGTAATTACTGTTGTCATTTCCTAATAGGTTTTGAGTTTGTGTTGATAGCTAACCTGAAATTTCCTGTGATTAGGTCAACCCTACCTTATGGTTGATATGAATAGAATTAAACTGATATTTAAAGTCCTTACTAAAAGCACTTCATTTTATCCTGTATTTTTCTTTAACTCAATACTTTTGAAAAGTATTTATGTAATTGGTGGTGGAAATGGACCACTTTAAATTTTATAAGGAGGTTATTTTTATGTAGACGAAAGAACATCCAGCCTGAGGAAAAGTCTTATTTAAGCCAAACTGATGACAATCTCTGGGAAGCAGTTGAGAAAATACCTGACCCTAGTTGGTTTGGCTCAGTGGATAGAATGTCCGACTGCAGACTGGAAGGTCCTGGGTTCGATTCTGGTCAAGGGCACATAGCCTGGGTTGTGGCCTGGTCCCAAGTTGGGCTGTGCAGGAGACAGCTGATCGGTGATTCTTTCATCATTGATGTTTCTTTTTCTCTCTCTCCTTTTCCTTGGGGGTCGAGGGCTGGATCCCTCCTCAGGGCTGGTGGCCAACCTCCTGGGTCCCTCCCCTTGTTCCTTCCCCTGGCCAGCAGGCCCCAATTGGCCCATCGCCTGCTCACTGCGGTGGTGGTTGGCTCCTTCTCCTCTCCCAATACCCCCCATAGGCAGGCCCTGATTGTCTGATTGGGGCCTTTTGGCCAACCTCCTGGTCCCTTCTCCCAGCCAGCAGGTCCCAATTGCCTGATCGGGGCTGGGCCCCAGGCTAGTACGGGAGCCGGGGGGTGGGTAGTGGCTGGCATGGTGGCGAGGGAAAGAAGAGGTGGGGAACCTAATCAGCTCTGATCGCTGGCCAGGCTTAGGGACTCCACCTGTGCATGAGTTTTGTATACTGGGCATTTATTTATTTATTTAATTTTTATTTTTAAAATATATTTTATTGATTTTGTACAGAGAGGAAGGGAGAGAGATAGAAACATCGATGAGAGTCATCGATCAGCTGCCTCTTGCACACCCCCTACTGGGGATATGCCCGCAACCAACGTACATGCCCTTGACCGGAATCAAACCCGGGACCCTTCAGTCCCCAAGCTGACGCTCTATCCATTGAGCCAAACCGGTTTCGGCTGTATACCGGTCTTTTAGTTAGGATATAAAAGAAAATGCTCTGGAGAATGGCAGTTTTGCAGCTTATTTCATACATGATAATCAAAGGAGGAGACATTAGGAAGGTTACATGAAATTTGTTGGTGGTAGATTAAAGGGGAGGAAGAAAGCAAAGCTGGAAAACCTCTGAGATTGGATAAAAAGCAAGGGAACATTCACATACTTCTTTTACATTGGTGAGTACAGGATAATTAACATTTATTGCACAGAGAGTGTATGTGGAGGTACAAGGTAACAATGAGGGATTCTGGGGTATGGAAAACAAGATTATTCTGACATTTAAAAGGTATTTTATTTTATTTTATTTATTTACTTTTTTAATTTTTATTTTTTTTTAAAAAAATATATATTTTATTGATTTTTTACAGAGAGGAGGAGAGAGGGATAGAGAGCTAGAAACGTCAAGGAGAGAGAAACATCGACCAGCTGCCTCTTGCACACTCCCCACCGGGGATGTGCCCGAAACCCTTGACCAGAATCGAACCTGGGACCTTTCAGTCTGCAGACCGATCAATGCTCTACCACTGAGCCAAACCAGTTTCGACTATTTTTATTTTTTTAATTAAATTATTACCTGCGTACATATTTTAACATTACCCCCCCTCCCATATATATCCTCCCTCCCCAGAGTTTTGTGTCCATTGGTTGTACTTATATGCATATATACAAGTCCTTCGGTTGATCTCTTATCTCCCCCAGATCTCCTTACCCTTCCCGCTGTAATTTGACAGTCTGCTTGTTGCTTTACTGTCTCTATATCTATCTTTTGGTTCATCAGTTTATAATGTTCTTTATTATCCATAAATGAGTGAGGTCATGTGGTATTTCTCTTTCATTGACTGGCTTATTTCACTCAGCATGATGTTCTCCAATTCTATCCAGGTTGCTGCAAATGATGAGAATTTCTTCTTTTTTATGGCAGCATAGTTTTCCATTGTGTAGATATACCATAGTTTTTTGATCCAATCATCTGCTTACGGGCACCTAGGCTGTTTCCAAATTCTAGCTATTATAGATTGTGCTGCTATGAACATAGGGGTGCATATATCCTTTCTGATTGGTGTTTCTAGTTTCTTGGGATATATTCCTAGGAGTGGGATTACTAATGGAAGCTAAAGAGAAAATAAACAAATGGAACTACATCAAAATAAAAAGCTTTTTTACAGCAAAAGAAACCATCAACAAAACAACAAGAAAGCCCACTGTATGGGAGAACATATTTGCAAATGTTATCACTGATAAAGGTTTAATCTCCAACATCTATAGACAACTTATACAACTAAATAAAAGGAAAGTGAATGATCCAATTAAAAAATGGGCAATGGACCTAAATAGAATATTTTCAAAAGAAGACAGAAGGAAGGCCAAGAGGCACATGAAAACATGCTCAAAGTCACTAATTATCCAAGAGATGCAAATCAAAACAACAGTGAGGTACCATTTCACACCTGTCAGAATGGCCAACATCAACAAATCAACAAATGACAAGTGTTGGCGAGGTTGCGGAGAAAAAGGAATCCTTGTGCACTGCTGGTGGAAATGCAGACTGGTGCAACCATTGTGGAGAACAGTATGGAGTTTCCTCAAAAGACTGAAAAAGGTATTTTATTTTAGATGCACAAAGTCAGTGGACAATTTTAAAATTAAAGATTGATTTTTGTCAAGAAGGCTCCAGCCTAGGACATCACTATCCATTGTGACCTAGTTTTAGTTAGGAAGTTTTATGCTCAGACCACCCTATGTGGTTACTTTAGTCTCTCAGTTTGTAAGGCCTTCATGCTTGTCAGGTTTAATATATGACTCCTTTTTAAATCACATTTACAAAGTGTCTTTTGATTTTAAGCCTTTTAAAAAAGCCAGTTTTGTTTTCTCTGATCAAAACCTAAGCCATGAGTCCTCTGAATGCAGAGGACAGCAATTGCAAACACATGGCAAGGAGCTATGACCAAGGGCTCTACCTGACCACACACTGGGAAGTGTAAGGGAAAATAGTAATGAAAATTGGAATATTTCAATGTATAGATTTCTAAGAGATTTTAAATGCAGGGTGGATATTTTCCAGCCAAATTGAATTTTATGTATATTATGAAATGGAAAAGATTAACTTGGCTAGGTTGCCTAGATTATTAGTTTTTTTTTGTTATGAGGAAGAAGTTTCTGGCACAGTCCCCATTAAAGACTAGAAGAATGCCAGAAGATTACTTAAGGAGGATATTCAGCAGACACCCTGTGATAGGGACTGGTGAGCACGGCTCATTGAGTTCTGGGATAAAGCTGGGGGTGATTTCAGGCTGGTTCTCCACTGCTAACTAGTGACCTGGGACATTGAACATCTTCTAAAAGCATGTATCTCTTAACTTTCCAAGTTTAAAATTCTTTTATTATTATTTTTAAATGAAGAAGCTGTTACTTTCTCACTGCCCTATCAGGTGTGGTGACCTGAGGGCACCCAGTTTCTTTTTGTTTTATGACTTAATTAGTGGTTTCACTGTTCAGGGCCCAGCCAATTTTCTTCTGTTGTTTCTTTTTTTCTTCCTTTAAAAACAGTTGGATACTGTGACCCTCTTCTTGAGAGTGAATGTATATTATCATAATGGCGTCAGTACTGTGAGTTATGTCTTTTATACGAGAAGAAGAGGGAAATAACTAGCACCCTAACAAGCAAAATCCTTCATCATTAAGATCACCAAGGGAGAGAGATATTTGTAGTCCAAAGTCAGGCAAAGGAGCACTTTAAAATTTAACTATTTGGCCCAAAAATAATTTGTAGAAATGGAGTTCTGATGATTGGACTTGGCAGACCTTAGTAGCCCTTTTTCTTCTGGGCTCTGAGGTGAAGGGATAAGATGCCTTAATTTCTCACTAGTGATTGGTACCAATATAAGGGCAAGGAGATACTGATGGATGGAAGTGATGGCAGATTGATGCCCAGGGTGGATACCAATAATTCACTTTGCCCTTTGTTTGTGTAAATGTGCTCTTGATTTGTCCTCTATTGTAATTTCCCTCCTTTTCTCTTACAAATAAATACATCTGATGCTTTACAAGTCCACTGCATGCATGTTTTTCCTTTACTCTTTTTATGGTCTTCCTATCCTACTGTTATTTATATTGCTTCCTTACTAGCCCTGACTGAGGGAACAGCTTTAATTCTTCCCTCAGTATCTGGTACAAATTTCTCCTTTTTGCTAGCCTCTAAATAGAGAGTTTGTGAAACCACATGGCTGTTTCTCATTTCTTGCCCTCTTGATATTTAGGAAAATTGCAATTTGCTCTTTTAAAAATCATGATTTTTTTAAAGATATTTTAACCAGATTTTCTTGTCTGGATAATATAAAATCTGGTTACAGTTAAGATGTTAGTACTTTTTGCACCATTTAAGGTTTTGAAATTTGTTATTGAAACAAACCATAACCTTATGAACATTTCCTTAGATTTCTAGAAAGGTTCTTTGCTTTGTGTTGTAACTGCAAATGGATTATTTATCTTGTTTTACACTTACACTTAAGTTTAAAAGAGTGTTTTTTTTTTTATTTGCTTACTTTTGTTTTAATATCACGTTTCTTTTCCTAAAGCAAATGTTACATAGAGCATGTGTATGAATTATATATTCCTATTTGCCCAGGAAACAT